AATATTTCAATGCTTCAAGCATATTACATTCGGTGAAAATTATGCATTAAGGTTATACAGTTTTGAACTCGGAGGAGGGTGATTTATTTCGCATAATGTCGATTCGCAGTAATATTCACTCAACTTGATGATGGTAAATGTAAGTTTATTATTGTAAAAGGTTGTTTTGGGGTTTCGTAACGGAAAGTTCGGTACATGCTTTTTGACTTCTGCATAAACTAGACTCAAACATAATATTACTTAAATCATAACCTAATATTAATAACGAACAGCATTGTTGGAATAAACAGCATTACGAGCTTGTCGAACAATTATTATTATTGTGCCGTACGCTCGAATTCCAATCATACATGGCCCGACGATGCGGTTCTTCCTTTTACAGCCAACTGATCCAGCTAATCCCACACATTCCCCGAGCACATAACATATTTGGTGAATGCCGATTTTGTGTAATTTCCATAATATAGACATGAAATAGATAACCGCTGATTTGTAACTTCGACGAAATAAATCATAACGTTTTTCTTGTTTTCAAAACACACTCTTATAATATTCATACAATACAGTAAAAAATAATCGTTTTAATTGGACCGTATGAATACTAAAAGTATTTGTTAAAATATAAAAAAAAAACACATTGAAACGTTATGGTTTTTATCATTTATTGATGTGATCTTAAGACTTCAATGAAACGGATACTGCTCGAGGGCGTTAATAATAAATGATAAATAAGTTGAAAACGTTCCAAGAATTACAGAAAAAAATCACATACAAATATTTTTTTTAATTTTAATTATTGACTTTAATAATTTCATAAAATCCAAACAGCAAAGCATTTGCATATACTGTTAAACATATTATCAATTTTTTTTTTTTTGCAAGTAATTCGATGTTTATGAAATTTTATTTACAAAATATTGTTATATATAGTACACATATTGAACATATTTACAAAACATGTAGACATTTTGTAACATTTTAAAACCTTGATTTCTTGTGGAAACTTCATTATAAAAAATGTTTAATTAGTTGAATATATTTTAAAATTAACCTTTAATGCTTTAATTCGAATATCATTAATTTAAATTTAGTTAATAAGACTATAGGGTAAAAAATAAATACCCTCCATGGGCGTGTGAATTGTACAAATTTAAGGACGGCATTTTTGTGTTGCTCAAGGGTATAAAACGTTTTTTTTCTAAGGTAACCACAGGACAAAACTTACTGATCAATATTATATATATATATAAGGGTGATCTTTAAAATATGGGTTCTTGAAGAGTTGTATTGGAGCCCTGTAAATCGGGTTTCAACGAGTAAAAATAAAAGCTATGAAATTTTCATACAAATCCCTTTCTCGATCAAGAAGTTCCGCACAAATACAGTAATAATCCCAAACGGTTTTTTTTCTCCATATGTATATTTTTCATGACGTTAATACGACGACGCAATCATATTTAGTAACAGAAACTTACTTTTGAAGTTGTTTAAAAAAACCTTCATTAACTTAATTTTAACTGAAGTGGGGTCGTTGGACTTTTTTTTTCTATCATGCTTTCGCGTTAAGTAAAAATATATAGCATCCAATTTGCGTATGTTATTTTTTGTACACATATTATAAATATAGTTTAGAGAAAAAAACTTAATCTCCGTTCCCACCGACCCTCGACCCAGTTTTTTATGTTTTTTTTCACATATTATTATTATACTAGCCATCGGAAATGTGTTAAAATCGATCCGAGTGAGGCAATGGCGAAACGACGGTTAATGCGACAAACGTAAATAATGTTGGTGGGTTTCAACACGAACCGTTTTTTCTTATCAAAAGGGATGTCCGGCACCGAAGCCCTCTCTCTCTCTCTTGTTTTTTACCCTGAACGGCTCGCGTTGGATTTCCGGACTGGAATTCGGTCCGGCACGCGGTAAACACCGTCGTCGGTATACATCACCAAGGCAGCTTGCAAAAATGTTTTAGGCATTTGTATAAACACAAAACATGGGAATTTTTTCGTGGCGAGCCCCAGGGAGCCGACAGTACCTACCGGACGGGGAACGTGGGGAAAGCCTATTTCGTTTAGTTAAAACGTGACCTATTTTTTACCCTCCCGTCCGACACACTCCGTTTTCAACAGTTAAATACATTAGATCAATATAATATAATGTCATGGCAATAATATCAATACACGTATTACAATATGATAACGTCCAAGATCAACGTCAGAGATTAAAATGTTATAAGAGCAGATACATTTAACGGACATTATACAGAAAATACCACTCATACCGGCCAACAAGTGTTTGGAAAAATTAATTTTTGCCACGTTTCCATTTTATTTAGTGCAAACACTTGTCGAGTGTTTATTGTGCGCGCCAGTACATGACCGTTCTAAATAATATGATGCCGGTCACGACGGCATGTGCTTTTAGCTGTTGGAACAATAACGCTTTAAAACTCAATCGTCGATAGTATCCATAAATACATACAGGACGTCTAGTGCTATTATACCGCTGGTATATATATATATACAAATTAAAATAAAACTTAAATTCATACAGAGTGAATCAAAAGATTAGTCTGATTTATCCAACAATAAACGAAGTGAATTGTTTTTTTTTCTATTATCTGTAATGATTTTTTTTTTTTGACATAACGACTTAATTCAGTATACCTACTTAAACGTAATTGTAGAATAGCCTAAATAAGAACTAAAATAACAATTAACCAAATTTTTTTTTTTGGGGAGGGGGAAATTGATAAAAAAAACTAGAAAAACCATGAAATTTTTATAATAAGAAATAGGTAAGCTTACAATTTGTACAGCATATCTGAGTTTTTAATAAAATTAAGTGTAGATCAAATAATTAAAAAAAAAAAACAAAATATAGATTTAATGCCTAAAAACATCAGTGGTTTATATAAATTTGTTTTAAAATTAATTAAAACATTTTTCAGTTTCTAAAACACATTTTTTTTAGTGTAAATTTTCTAGAAAATTCCTTTCCTATTGACTATATCAAAACTATTAAGCTGTATTCGATTTTATTGTTCAAAAACAAACAGAGCACCAAATTAAATTAGGTCATACTATAAGTTTTATTATATACAAATTTAAATTGCAATAAAATTGATTTTCTTATAATACGTTTAAAATTCAATAACACAACTCTCTTAATTTTAAGCAATATAATGATATGTTTTATGTGTTAATAACATTTAAACAACAATTTAAAAATATTGTTTTATTTTGCTGTCTTGGATTTATACTGTAACTATTTTCTATGGTCTACAGAAAAAAATAACAACGCTACAGAGGGCAACACATTATTAGCATTTCATTTCTTAAACGAGTAATGTAAGTCGAGAGTTATAACAAGTAATTCATACAAGAAGTATAAGTATTTAAATGATTCATTTCTATTAAACAATATCTCGAACCCGTGGAATAGTAATCATTCAAAGCTATGTAGTTATTGGTTTCATTAGATCATTCTCGTGTAAGTGGTAATTTCAAAACTTATTTACTTAATTGTAAATTAGAACTTAAAGTTTTAAGTAATTTTTTTATAGTAATACCTACTTTTTTTTACGGATAATGTGGTAAATAAATTTTGCACGTTTCTAATGCTTCTTTAGATAAAAACTAACAAGGTAATTAGTTGCTGGTTTTATAAGTGGAAAAAAATTGACAACACGATTGAAAATATTCGGTATATGTGCGGTTGAAACTTAATACTACATAATGGTGATGTTAAAAATTTGCCTTAAAAAAATTTTAAGTAATGATATAGTCTAAAAAGTGTAGTATATTGTGTGTATTTTAATGGCTGAAGTTTATGCTTCCGACGATCAGGACACACGCCAACGTTCGAGAAAAAAACCAATAAGTTGGAAGTAAAAATTAAAAAAAAAAATATGTACAGTAAAAGAGAAATGGTAAAAGTTGGTCCGACGAGGAAAGTTTAAATTGTTACCATCAGTATGATAATAAACCAAAATAATGTACAGCTGGCGAGATTTAAAAATTTTAAATCCGAGTTTTTCGTTCTTTTTACAACAGAAATTTTTTTTTTTTTTTTAACGAAAAGTTGCTTGGTACTTTGTCGTCGGCTTAACGACTATCAGAAACTAACCGACCAAGAAAGAAGTTAATGCCGTCGCGGCCGTGGATTTGTTGTATTGGTCTCTTCGATTCTACATATTTGAACAAAGCCTCCGTTGCCGTTCGGCTGACTTATTATTAGATTTATTTAAATAAGTAGCGTTTTCCAAAGCATAATAATTCATTGTTGTTTGTTGGCTTGACTGTTCAAACAGCGACACTGCAACCGCGAAGGCGTATTTATGAGTTGATAGCGGGATCCACCTTTTCGATTTTATTCTCACCAATCAATTTACTTTCTTACCCAATATTAAATTAAAGTTCTGCTCTTATTCAATGACTCGGCCGCTTTCATCGGACAGAAATGCAATAAAATTAATAGTTCCGACAATTTTTTCGTTGGGATTTATTGGAAAATATTATAGCTCAGAAAGCGAAAATTGAAATATCCTAAAAATATTGTTCAGCGTTTTAATTTAGTATTTTAAATGTATCTATTCGAAATAATTCGTATGAGTTATGTATTTATGCGAGTAATACTTTTCAAATGTATTTGGAAAATTGATTAATTACTTAAAAAAATAATAATATAAAAATGTTTAAATGTATTATACATACAATATAATATATTTTACATACAACCAATCTGTTTTTAATATTTGTATAAAAGTTTTTATAACTTTTTCAGTTTTCGTCCTGGGAGTATTGGTTTTTTTTAAACAATATAAAGATTGTTTTTTTATACATTTAACGGTATTATTTTCTAAAATGAACTTCGACTTTTTTAGACTAAATAACGTATCCTTCTCATCCCACGCTCCCACCGTGCCTAGATAACATACTATTATGCAATAAGCACATTAATTAATTATGATTTTTTTTTTCTTTTTCGTTTTCCAGAGTGCACGAAACGGACGGTTCGTTTTTTGAAAAGTACAGCAGTCTACAGTGGAAATTGGACCAGAGGCGTTTGCAGATGATCAAGGACAGCCGGCAGGACGAGAGTCCCCCGCCCGAGCTCAGCGTCGGCGTCAAACCACCGCCCGTGTCCAGCATACAGCCCAAAGAGGTATTAATTTAAAGTCTGAACAACAGCTCCAGTCTAAACCACTCGTCCAGGTTAAGGGTCCAGTGGTCATTAGGCAGTTTGCGTGTGTCTGTGAAGTCTATAATAGAATAAATGTCGTCAACGTTTTTGTGTGCTAGCCTCGGATTTCCAGTGCTGTTAGTGCACTCGTTTGTCGGTGAACGTTAAGAGGTTCCCGGGAAAATAAATCGGCTATTTACGGTTTTTATTTGTGGTCGTGTGGTGGGAAAAAAACCTATCAAGGGTTTCCAAAGGGTCAGTCTCACGCTGGGCGAAACGCAAGTATATGTTGTCAGAAAACAACAGTTATGTGATCTGCCACTTATCGTCAATTGTTTTTAACCGTCAAAACTCGACGGCGACGTTTAATTATCGGTTTTACCGAAATATCTTCTCTACTCACTGCTGTGTCTCAATAAAGGTCTTGTAGCTAACGAATTTCTCCAAATACGTCTTTTACCTTCGGTGCGGTAATTACCGTTTTTGACCACATCTAAACACACAAGTAGTGACAAAACCGCTTTCAAATTCCCTTTCTACAACTCCCGGGAAAAATGGTGGTTAATGATATTTTCTTCGGTTTTCTTGTATATCGGTAGTTCTATATCTAAAGAATATCGCACACAAGTCCGGAAGATTATGTATTTAAACAAATTTAGCACGCCTTAATTTTAATAATGTGAATGTGAAGACCTTGAAAAATGTTATAACACCTTTTTTTTTAATTTTAAATGTTTGCCCAATAAAGAACCAAAAAATTCAAGTACCTACGATTTATGATCATAAAGAAACCGGGTCAACGGCTTAGGGCATACTTATCGTAGATACAGTCACGAAAATATATAAGAAGAATAAAAACATCATTGTAAAAACAATTATTACTCAGCTACCAGTCGAAGCTAAATTACGAATATAAATACAACAAAAATATTTAACGACTTTCTTTTGAACACTACCTTCGGAGCTAAACGAGCAACAGTCGAAAAAGAACTAAGAAAACTAACAGATTACTCGATTTAGCTGCTCGACTTAATTTTCCGGAATGTAATTAAGCTGTACATCTAATATTATCAATTGATAAATCAAGTTTATATTCAACGCTCAATTTACTCTTAAAAATTAAAATTATAAAATGTTTTAAAATCTTCTCCTCCTTTACCTTAACCTAAATAAATAGGGTCGGTCAGCCGAATAATCTTTTTTCACAAAACCTATTTGGCATATTTTATTTGGTAATTCCATATATTTATTGTTAACTTCAATACACTTCTACTTCGTTTTACCTTAACATCTTTGAATACCTTTTCTATGTTAATCTCTCTCATTTATAATACTATTTCATTTTCTTCCTTTCGTTCAACACTTCCAAACTATTTCAATCTGTTCTCTCACTCATTTTGTCGGCCATTGGCGCAGCTCTCAAACGATATACATCTCAACAATTAAATTATATTTTCCTTGCATTTTTATTAAACAAAACGGTTGAGTTCGACTACACGCTAGCAAAAACGGGTTTTCAAAAAAATGGCAAACGTTTTACCGATACGTGTAACTGGTTTTTGTGTTGAATTGTCTTTGGGTTAATGACTTTTGATAAGAGTAACTTTTATTGTCCCGACTGTGAACAGTTACTTTCGAATCACTCGAAGAAGCACTCAAAAATGTCTTTTTGCACTCACACATCAGAAATATGTTTCAGTCGAATTAAACCGAAGTCAAGTGGTCGCGTTTGCCAACATACTTCTACGATATGATATTATATATATTGAAAAAAATAAGTAATCAAGTACAAACGCAAGCAGATATTTGTAATTTTCAGGAATTTGTCGAGTATAAAAGTCCACAAGAGACGTTTACAAATATTGTTTTTAAGCGACGTTTAATTTTTTTTCAGCGAAATAAAACAATATTCCAGGACCCACAGCATTGATGGCTGTTGTTTGTCTTGGATATATTTTTTACTCACCAAACGTTTTTACACTTTATTTTGTACTTGACACTATTTCGGAAAACGCGTGTAGGAATTTTTATACTTTTGCGACATTTGTTTTACTATTACTCTCTAAACTCTCACTCTAGTACTCGGAATTTTCTAACCGAAAACATGTACATCATATTCCAGGAAAACCTTAAAAAATGAACGAAGAAGACACCATCATTGTGTATTGTATCATTTGTGTACGTCTTAGTTCCTTTCAATGGTTGTTAAGATATGAGTTAATGTAATCTCATCTATTCTTCAATTTTACCATACAATTTCTTAAGTGAATTTCAGACTAAGATGAATTTTTTTTTATCGCATAACAGTGCGCTCCACCAATAACACTATTGAGTTACTATTAGTTTAATACCAAATTAATTTTGTTTCTAAGAATATCATTGTTAGACAAATAAAGGTATGCGGATTTCATAACTCACTCCTATGCACTTTAAATGATCAACTCAAGCCGTCTATATGCGAGGGAGATATCGTTTTCTTGAAACAAAATATAAATTTACACGCACCGAATACTATTATATCGGTTAAGATCATTTTGTGACAATGTAACTAAAATTCGATTACCGTCGTCTGTTTTTTAAAACAGACTCTTTAAAAATAACTCTTAGACTCTTTTGATTTGAATTGACTTAATTTTTAAAACTCCATTGATGTAGTTAAGCAGTTTAAGTAGTTACGAAAATATTCTACGCTAACGTGACAGAAGCGATAAAATTCACAAATTACTTTGTATTTTTTTTTTAATTAAAAACAATACCAAGAAATTACTTATGTGATTTAAACCTTTTTCTAAAAGATTCACTGCTCGAACTTAACAAATATCAATCATCCTGGGGGATATTTCATAAGACGGAGTATCTACTGTTATTGAATACGTCATGTAAAAACTAATGGGGAGAGCAGGGCCTAAAACTGTTATGTCATGACCTTCTCGTCGGCCGTATGTTTTAAAGCGACCCACTACAACAACGGGAAAATATCATGTTGAAACCCACCCGGACGGCTATCTGTCAGCGGGTGTCTATTGTGTAGTTTCCGCATGGTGTGCGAGTAGTATGTGTGTTTTGAGCAAAAAAGCAACAAAGTTAATATGTTTACATGTTAACCCTGCAACGTTTCTGTTTACTCTGGGCCAGTATACTGACACAAATGGTCGAAACGCTGTGTTATGCGTTCGGAACGTACAGCAATATTCGTCGAAAAAAACGTACCCTCGTAAAATCCGTAATAGCAAGCTGTTTTCATCGGCGATTAAAATGCCTGAAATTTTCCTAAAAAAAAAAAAAAGAATTGGAGATCCCACCTCCCCACCCACCATTAAAAAGGAAAAAGCTCAAGAATTTATAAAAAAAAAGTAAATTTCTGAACACATCCGATTTTTTTCGAAAAACGGAACTAAATGTTATTGTTTTGGAATATTTAAAAAAAAATCAAATATCGCGTTCTCACTTTAATTATATGACTGAAACTTTTCTGATGGTGTGCAGTGAAAAGAGAATCATACGAATTAGTATAGAGTTATGTTTTTGGATTATCTAGTGAGTGGAAACGATTGCTGATTTTCACAATGAACATAACCAATTATTTCTACGTACACGAGATAATCTATATTTTGTTGGTTTTTCCAGTTGTTTTATAAAAAAATTTCGGAAATTTTGAACTACAATAAACAAACTTTTCACAATATTCGGATGACAACGCCTACTGTTTTTCTAGTGGGTTTTATTCTCGTCAATTTTTTTTTCTTGGGAAAAAGTAATTTTAGTTATGGAACAGCAGCTGTTGCTCGCGAAAAATTGTTTATAGTGTCTTCGGCGACGAGATTGATTGTATGTACACTATGCACAATATGACAGTGATTCGGTTGTATTATGCAATTTAATATTTTTTATGCCATACACATATTATTATTATAACAAGTTATATATATTTTTTTTCTATTTGAATTTTCCTTCAGATGGAACACTTGTACATGGACGTTTTGTACACTATCAAGTACAAAGTGGGCGCCGACACCGAACAAAGCGCGCACCGTGATCAACTATACTTGTACGCACAAAAAGCGTTCGACGTCACGCCTGAACAGCACCGACGTTACATGGCTATTGTGCACGAGGAAAAGGTAAGGAGTGAAAATTGCTCGAAAATAAAAATAATTATACTCGGGACTGGACAATTTTTTTAAAATGTTTTTGCCATGACCTCACGCCCCTCGTTGTCAAAACGTCAATAGGTGCCGGGATAAACGGGCATTGGGAAAACCCCATTAAGCCCGGTAAAATGATAAACACGAGTGTCTAATTGAAAAACTCTGTTCTACTCCACCGTTCAATGTCGTGTATCCGACCTCTATTGTACTATTATTTTCTATACACCACCTGTCGGCGAGTACCGACAGTGTGATAAAGCTTTTAACACAATATCAATTACCATGATGGTACAACATATTTATTACACCCACCTGATTTATAATATAAAAGTTTTCGCCGCTATATGAATAATGCGCCGAATCACAAGTTGTCACAATTTATCACAAGTTTAACTAAAGAAAAAATATGTATATAACAACAGTCGCGTCTCGTTAAAAATCCAACAGTTTGCAAATTGACTATTAAAAGCTAACAAGTTTTGATTCGTACCAGAACGCGATAATGTATATTGTATCAAAGCGGTATCAAAGGTAAAACGGTAGCTCGTGTATATTTACAAATCAAAAGTTAATAAAAAAATACTTTTAATAATTGAATGTATTTTAGTGTCGAACTTTAATTTAAAATGATTCAGAATATTATGAAATTACCTATTTTATAATAAATACAAATTCAGACGTCGATTTTGTAATTGAATTGGTATAGTATATTTGTTCAAAGTAATTCATACAGTTATTTTTGTTTTCAGTAAATAACCATAATATTAAAAAATAAATAAATAATACAGTTATCATACATGCCATTTCCGAGTACAACGTTTTTTAATCTAAATATATAATGTTTGAAGTGAATCGTTTTTAATTTATTAGGCTTTTTATAAAATTGATTATATTTAAAGGTATGCTCGAGTGAGCATTATTGAGGATAAAAAACGAATTAAATATATTAAAAATAACACTCTAATGTAATAAGGGAAATATAAATTGAGAGGGTCGTAAATAACAAAAAAATAGTAGAAAACAGTTTTAGATTTTGTTAGAAACTACATTTTTAGGGTATTTAAGCTAAAACAATTTTTGAACGACGGTTACCTATAAAAATGTCTCCGTAAACAATTTTAATGATATCACGTACTTAAACAAACAGTTAGACCAAAATGTATATTGTGGAAAAACGTACCCTTTTCATTAATTCACCATCAAAGTGAAGACACTCGACAACAGCGTTTTGCTGCTGTAAATTAATTATGTTTACAAGTTTTATCGTTAATGATGTTTTTATTGCTATACATTTTTCGTTTTTTCTTTAATACTGCGGTTATAGTCGTTTTTGGACAAACCTTCTGTTAAAACGAACAAATAAAAATAAAAAATACAATATTAAATTAGATATTGTGTACAACATTTGCGGCGCTATTCTCTTTTACTTGTACTGCGTTGTTTTATGGTTATTCATTTGCGGAGGAGTAAAAACAACATTTTACGTTTAATTTTTTTTTTTAAATTGTGTATTATCTTTATCATCGTCATTTGGTAACTTTTTTTTTACGCCGTTGTACTTTAATAGCTGGTTTGTTAGTGTTACAGAATAAATAGACTCAACTTCTACCGGTTTTTTTTCCATTTCGTCAATAACTACTTATTATTGTTGGTAAAAACTTCCCAAAGTTCGATAAATTAGTGATTTATGTCGGTTTCGAAACGTGTCCAAGGTATATGTCGTGTCAAAAACTAATTTTAAAGGTAGCCAACGGAAATTGTACCCACGTTAAAAATGCGTCAATGAGTAAATACTTTAATGCCTAACCTGCGCACGGTACCCTCAACTGTATTACGTTACTTGTAGGTAATCGGAAGACCTTTTTTTTTGGATTTTGACGATGATAAACGATGGTTTTATTGTAAAAGGGCAATTGTTATTTAATATTATTATATTCTATACCGCGTACATCTTTTAATCGGACGCCAGCGGCGGTAAACGATTTTACCGGCGCAGAAATTTGCTTGTTGTTTTTCGTCTGAAAATTTGATTTATTAGAAGCCAAAGCCGCCCGGGACGAGTTGCCGAGCCTACGGGCCTTCGAGTCCCAAAAAACCGCTAGCTGTTGTATTATTTATAAGCCAATGTAATGTTATTGTACACCGACGGTATTGTATAATGTTATTAAAACGTCCAAACGTATAATATTATGGTAATTTTATTGCGACTGCCTCAAACAGACGCCGTACAATCTATTGATAAACAATGTAGTCAAGATTAGAACGTTTTTCGATTTTCGACTTAATGTCGAGCAAAAATTGTCCTTGTCCCGTACCTTTTCGATATAAACGTATCAATGGTAAATAATTATTGTTGTATATAACCAACTCCTTACATGCAATTAAATATTATATATTTTTTTGAGTACTTGGCCAGTTACATTTTGACATCGGTAATCTGTTGAAAAATGCTATTCAGTGGCTTGTAATTTGTTTTATGAAGAGGAATCACAAAATTAGAAGAACAAATTACCAAAATATATAGTTTTTATTGCTTTGTTTCCATTAGTACTACTAATTTTTGACATTCGGCACATGTTCGAGCGCATCAATTTTTAAAGCCAACCCTCTGCTATACCCTAAAGACATACGGTTCTACATTAAACATCTAATGTAAACTTCCTCTCGACTTTGTCCCTTGTGTACTTTTCTGCGACCATATTCAAATAATGTACATATATATATATATATATATATGTATACATACAAACACTGTAACCATATTACTGAATGGTAGTTTGATAAAGTAAATATTTCTGCAATTTCGCCGGTAGACCCTAATTGCTCATATTCATATATTATAGGTACATATTAAATGATTCTCTGAAATATATGAAAGTAAAAAGTTTTATTATGTGTGTTTAGACGGATTTTTTTTTCAAACCACTGGACGTTAGTAAAAAATATAAGCTAAACAGCCTTTATTCGTTTTTATCTATTGCTAAGTAATGCTTTATTTTAAATGCTTTATATAAGGTATGAATAAGAAAAATTAATTTCAAATTTGTATTTTAATATTTTATATATTTTCTACAATCTCTGTATTTTTATAATAAGCACATATTGGGTTTGGAAAAATTGCATTAAATGGAGAAATACTCTATTAAAATACTAAGAATAAATTATTTTAAGTTTTTTAAATTTTTTCTATCACAAAAATTCGGGATTCAATGATTTTTTTTTGTTGAAATTATGATGTAAGTAACAAAATAATATTTTCATGTTATTTCTCTGGCAAAATTAACTTATAGTTTGAGATCTGAGGTTTTTCCAAAATATTAAATTTATATTGTTTTTTTTTCAGCACGACGAAAATTATGTTTTGTTTGTGAAAAATGACTGACATAAAACACGTCATTGTCCTCTATCGGGTTGTCAGACATAATATCTAAATATGACATTAGACTGACATCACTTTGTATAATTGACTGAAATATTTTTAGGAAAAAAACACATTTTTAAGATTTGTTAAGAATGATATTCTTAAACTAGTTACTTCTTTGTTGATTAAATATGTTGAAATCTAAAATACAAATTTTTTAACAGTAATTATTTGTTGCCACGAGTATTAAAATATATCTTAGAATCTGGGGTTAGAATTACAAATTACATAATATCTACAAAAAGGAATTTTTTATGACTTTAAACCCAAAACCTTTAAGTGCAGCTTTTAATTATTAAATGATAACTTATAATGGCGATATTTGACTTACAAATTTTTTATATTTTGTTACGGTCGGACCAAAAACCTTGCAATTGATATAGATATATTTATACATATTTTATATTGGGTGATCTACTTAACGAAACACACTAATTGAAGTATTGTTTTTATGTACACTTCAATTCTCGTCCTAAATTTTCAACTCCAATAACTTTACAAGTGATAATTGAATACTGGCTATTGACCGGTCAAAATGTTTAGCAAATTATTCTTATTTAAAAAATTGATTATTTATATACTCTGTAATTTAAACATTCAACAGCGCTTTGGAAAATAAAAAATGTAATTGTTTGGTAATTTTATAATAATATTGTACAATAACAGAAATGAAAACGTTTTCAGAAAGGAGAGAGAGAGAGATTGGAGGACGTTTTGTCATCGATACCATAATAAGCAGCTGTGATTCGACCAACGGATTTTTATGCGAAAACTCATCACGTTCCTTCTTATTTACACAGAATTTAATGTTGACGACCACCACGAGGCTTTTGGAAGAGCTATTACCGCGATTATGACTTTATTTGCTCGGTTTTAGTGCCTTTTACCCGAAACCGAAAAGTGCACAATAAAATTGCCGACCACCGGATGTGATATATTATTTACTACAAGCCGAAAAATAAATATCGTTTGTTGTTAAACGGCTACCGCCGAGCCATTTACCAATAAACACGACAAAGGTTGTAGTTTCTTTCGAATATTTCACAAGACGGTAGTCTGTAAAGGCTGAAAGATAGCTTCTCGTTTCCACACTAGACTTCGTTCGTTTGTCATCAGCTGTTTTCAACATATTTTTTGTAGAATTAAGAAATACCGGTATTCGTTTGAATAACAATTATGGGGAGAGTGTCATAAACCCATTAATGATTACATGACGCTTTTATGGATTTTCTATAAATCTACTTATTAATTGGTGAACACTTCAGTAAAAAAAAATCACAAAATCAAATCTTCAGAAAACCCAGCGCTCTCACCTATAGAAATTACCGAGTAACTGTAACTATTATAGTATTGTAAATCATACAAAAAATACAGTTAACCCAAATCATTAATAATTTTTTTTCAAGCAAAAAATATGGCAAGTTTACAGATAAACTAAATCACATTTTTTTTTAAATTTCAATGAATAACAACAAAAGTATTTAAAACTTGAATTAAACAATTTTTAAGAAGACATAAAGGTCTTTATAATAAATGCCTTTAAATAATGCGTAGCCTATATTAAAGGACTGAGAACTTCGCGGAAAAGTCGTCGAGTCCATTAAGCTTTAGTATACTTTAGTGTATACTTATTTCCTTTTATAACGAATGGACTTTCGAAGAAAATATAGTAAATACAACAAAGTTAATTGCAAAAGACGATGTCATATTGTTAATATTAATGATTGACGGTAGAAAAATATTAAAAAGTAATCTACAACAGTGATAAGAATAATTATTGTATAAAGAAATAGTTTTATGTAAGTCTAGTGTAGTTATTTCCGTTAAGAAAACAACTCAACTTTTTTTTATAAAATCCTTCCGATGTTAGGCGAATTAACTACTCACACATACACAAGTCTATAAAAGGTAAAACATTAATAATAAATTCAAAATAAAAGGATAACTTTTGTTATGACAAAAAATAACAAACAAAGTACACTTTACAAATAGCTTTTCCGGTTTCAAAGAAACACTGTTAAAAATATAAAACGACCGAATACCTTGTTTACATTTTATTCTATGGAATTATCGATTATATAACAATCTAGCCTAAAAATGTATTGGCACGTAACACGTTTTCCTCCATTTCTAATGTCCAGCCTATTATGTTAATGATGGTGACAAAAGCGTTTTGTCGATGCTCATCACGTTCTTTCCGATGCTTTTACACTAAAGTCCGACAAGTCGGGTGACCGGGGAATTATTACGAAGGCCTACTAATCCGCCTATCCATATTATTATTATAATTATTTTTATTGTAGTCCTTCTTCTACCGACCGTACAGTCCATTTGTTGACCGCTGTATTTTATAAGAAATCTGTATTTATCTTAAAGCCCCGTCAAAGATATACTTTCAGTCGAAATTTCCGACTCAAATCCTAAGACCATGCCTAAAAAAACGGAATAAAGGAAAAGTTTCTACCCATCTTGAGGAAAAGGGTCAATGAAATTTTCTTGGGTTTTTACTGTTAGACTATTTTTAAATAATTGTTAGTAAGCTGTAATTTAATGATGAAAAATGTGTAAGATGTTTATGTATTTTCTTGATTTTGATGAGAAAGTGTTGACTTTTTATTAATTTTCGGCTAAATAAATTACTTATTAGGTACGATTTTTGAACATAGAAACATAGAAAAACAACATTTTAGTAACAACACCCTCTAAGCTCAAGGCTGAGAGCTAAAAGCTAAAAAAACCTAATTAAATAGCTGCAAACATCTGGCCTATTAGAGTTTTCACAATTAAAATTCATGCCGAATTTTTCATAAGAAAATATCATAAGGTGCTAAGTCAAAGTTTTAATGTTTTATTGTTATCTTTTTTTTTTTGTACATAAAAATGTTTTTTTGGAAGTTATTTTTTATACACCAAGTATCTACCCACACCAAAGAACAAATAGTTTCACCGTTCGAACAGATAAATAAAAACTTTGGCCATAATTTTTTGTCTTAAGTACTAGAAAACGGTATTAACCGTGCGACTTTAGCAAGGATATTCTATTAATTGAACGGCTACGATAACACGTGTATGGTTGTAGTGCTTTAATGTAGTATCAAGTCAATAAGAAGTCAGTTGGCCGCAAATTAAATAACGCAATAATCAAATATGACTAACCAATAATGCCTTGACATATTTTGTATGTTATAATTTATATAGATACATTTTGTTTTTATTAAAAATAATGTAATACTCATTAAAATTCAATTTTTTTTTCGGTATTAAGCCGAAAGTCATGTGAAAAAGTTCAATAAGTTTTCCAATTATTAAACTGGTTTAGTCAACTATAGTTATTTATAACAATAACTTTTATCCTGCAAAGTATGTAACATACTTCCTAATGAACAATTAACGAACAGGTAATAAAAAATGTTTCTTTTTTTCATGACAGTTTGTTTTAAATGAACATTTATCAATAATAGTCAACTGATTAATTAATAGACGTATTCGAATGTAAAATAAACATTTACCATGAAACTATATTGACGTGTCCTTTGATTTAATATTAAACTGCGTGGAAAATGTTTGTTTTACTGGGTGCCAACTGCATTTCAGCCATTATTACAAAAAAGGTTGATTGATCATCATCTATTATAGGCATTATATTATATACATTATAATATAGGCATTATAATATATAAATATTTTAAACTTTAAACGTTAGTAATAGATTTTCAAACATTTTTATTCGTCCAGTTTTAGTTCTTAACTGATATGCATAGGGCATTTTGTCCTAATCAAATGGTTTTAATTGAACAGCTGAAAATGGTGTAGTCATCACCACAAACATAAACAAGTCGTTGGAACCTTTCTGGAGAATATTTAATATCATTGTTCCTCTGGAGTCAACAGAAAACTTATTTTTATATAAGCTATATCAGTGTCATCAAGAATGTAAAAAATGTAATGTTTTTTATCTATACACTGTAAGATGATGATATGTTGATATATTATGTCACTGTATTATTTACCCGTATAACTATCGGTGTTTATATATTTGTTACAGCCTCCTATCGTTGTGTTGCACGTTACTGTTGTGGAAGCGGAAGGACTGGAAGCGAAAGACGCCAACGGTAAGTGTGGAAAACATACATTTAATATGACAATACTGGTATAGAAAAATAGTATACACATGTAGATCATATTATTATCATCATAATATAATATAAAAAAGGTTACGATACATCTTTCGGTTGTCAAAACGCGTAAAAATGTGATAACTAATAATGTTATGAACAAAATATGTCGTGCTGTGCGCTTGTCGTTTAATCGGTAAAAACTAATGACTTTAACAATTAATATTATAATACGAGTTTTCAACGGGACAAGTATATTTATATTTAATCAATGAGCAACAAAACATATTTAAATATGCGAGTAACAACTTATTATCACACAATAATTCCCAGATTATTTTTGAATCGTGTTGTGGAGTGTTAGGTATTTGTTTTACAATACATAGGAAATATTATTGGAACATTTGTACTGTTATTGTCTGTCAAAATATGACAATAAAAACATTAGTAAGAACTTCTATTACAAATTATTGTAATGCTTGAATGAAATACATGTTATTTAAATAAAATATTTTGCTGTGTAGGTATTTATTTTTTTGCGGCACTAACGATATTATATTTTGAACCATGCGACCCTTGTTCACCATATACTTACACTTTCATACGATCCACGTTTCCGGTCCAATAATATACAACGACACATTATACATGTATATACTTCGAACGTGATTTGAATCCACTGAAGCTTTTGGCAACAACGTGCTCCACACAAGGTTTAGTAAACTAATAAAGATGATTCGGATTCGTTGCAAACACTTTATCCGTGTCACAAAAAGATGTACATGAAGTTGGCCCCCCAACATTATCCTAACAATTCCAAGTTAGCGTCAAACTTTTGTAAATTATTGTAAATTGGTTTTCATAATTTGTAAATAATTTTTCCTACACCTTTTACCAAAACACTTTTTTGGGGGGCCAAATTCACAGAACTCTCCGAGTTAACGCATCGACTCCAAACAGGTGTTAACGTTTTGTAAATTAATTGTAAATCTGGTTTCAGAATTTTTAAATCATTTTTTAGGCTTTATAACCAAACCACTTTTTCGGGGGGCCAAACTCACGGAGCCCCGAGTTTAACGGATCGACTCCAAACTGGTGTCAACAATTATAGTATGTTCTGGCCAAAAAAACAATAATCTTGTTGCTTAGTTATTGCGCTACTTTAATGTCGTTTTCAGGCTAGGGCGCCAAAGCTAATGTATGTTTCATGTTAAAAAAAAAAATAAACTTTTTAGATATCGAGTGGTTTCCAGTTTTGTAGACTGGCATTTCGTACCTTCAAAGTAAATGTTAGAAGGGTACCTACTAAAAGGAAATTTATTTTATTTTTTCGCTTTTAAGGAGTGAGTTGCAAATTTTTTCTAAATTGGTTGCGATTAGTTGCAAATAAGTTGCTCATTATTAACAAAAATTCGGAGTTCATCGGATAAAGTGGGGGGGCTCCGTGAGTTTAGCCCACCAAAAAAGTATTTTGTTTATAAAGACGAAAAAATGATTTACAAATTCTGAAACCAGATTTACAATTAATTAAAAAAATTTTAACACCAGTTTGGAGTCAATGCGTTAAACTCGGGGGGCTCTGTGAATTTGGCCCTCCCAAAAAAGTATTTTGGTAAAAAGTGTAAGAAAATTTTTTTACAAATTATGAAAACCAATTTACAATTATTTACAATAAATTTACAAAAGTTTGACGCTAATTTGGTTAGGTAACCTAGACTGTAGGGGGGCCAACTTCGTGTACATGGTAGGAGATGAAGTGCTTGGCCATTTCGAATTTCTCATAAATTGTTATTGTTTTTTTTTTTTACTTTTGAGTACAACAAAAGTTTCAATTTAGTTTTGCTAAAAGCCGTTTCGTTGAAAACTTTACAAAATGTCTTAAACGATGTTGTCGAGTTTATATAAAAAGTTATAAACTAAACTAACTTTCACCATAATTACAGTCAAAAGTCGAGTTAAAATTAAATACACTTTTAAACTCATTAACGTCCAGTCTTATGTCCAGCCTTGGTGTTAAAACGTAACAATATAAAGTAAAACATAATATTACTTTTCGCCAGGATAGAAACCCTGGAACGAAACTAAATGAGGAAATAAAAACAAAGTTTGGTCTACATAGTTTAGACATGGGCGGTTCAAACGTTCTGTTTTACTTTTAAATATTCTTAAATTTTAATAACAACTGCTATATTATACTGCTGTATTATTACTGGCATGATATTAATTTTAATTATTTTTTGCTCAAATGACCTGAACGACTGACCTGTTACTAAATAATATTATCCATCAACTGACCTGGATGATCATCTTATAAATTGTTAGACAACCTGGTAATCGCGAACCGGAATCATAGCGGTTTTGTGCCCATGTAATCGCGTGGTTATGTTGTGTGAGTCGTTCGTGCGGAAGTGTAACGGAACCGGAACCGCTCGAAAACACCATCGCCATCGGTGCAGGTTTTAAGTTATTCCATTATATTCACACCTAAACCTTGAGCCTTTTATAATGGATTTTTATGTATTTAAAAAAAAAACACCAAGTCGACTGAAAAGTTATGATAAAAATAAATAAAATAAATATTAGTTTGTAAAAAAAAAAAGGAAAAATAAAAGAATAAACGCCGCTCATTGTGGTTTCCATTCGATTTTTATAGTTCAGGTTAGGATTCGGTAGTGATTTACGATTACCATAAGATTTTTTTTTTTGCTCTGGTCCCTCATTAAAAAGCAACGAAATCGTAACCGTTTATGCTAACCAAATTGAAGTATAATTTACTTTTTAATTATAAGTAATACTAGGAAACGAGCAGAAGTAAGCCGATGATAACGAAGATGATTCATTCAACGATTGTGAAGATGTACTTCAACAATTATTCCTGTTCAATAGTTTATAATTTTACACGCTAGTAGAAGTTCTATTGTAAGTTCGATTTCGCTTTTTATCATCTTATTATAAATAGTAGTTTGACCTTAAATACATTTTTCGTTGAGTTAAACACTAACTAAACCTCTCCATAGAGTTGTGTTTCATAGTTCATAATCATAATGGAAATATTTTTATATTTCAGAAAAGTACAGGTGCTCCACTACAGGTTTTACATTCAATCTATACAGGTCGTGTAAATGCTTTTAGATAAACGATAACGAGCTGGAAACCTTTCACGTGTATCAAATTATCGCCTGGGGGAAACTGTGTTCTATGTATTGGAAGCAGCAGAATTAATTTGATTTTCTTGTCGGTTCGCTTGTCTCGTGGGCACATGACAGAATATTTCAAGGACACCCCGATGAGAATTTTCTGGAAGATCAACTTTGTTACACGGTTTGAGTCAATGATAAAAACCCAGAGGTGTAATTTTATCGGCCACTTAAGAAAACCAATAATGTGGTTTCGCTGAATTTTAACTTCTTATTATACCACCAAATTTTCTTTTCAAGGCTTGTCTCATTATCCAAACCACGTCTAACACCCTTGAACGAGTATTCTAGATACTAGTAAAGTACTTTCCGGATATTTTGGCTGTTTTTCAATTAAAGTTGACTAATTAAATAAGCGTTAAACATTTTACCTGCAAACGCCACGCGCCGCTAGCTTTCATCTAATTAAAATGTAATCGAAATCGCCTGTAATTATTTCTAGTTCGATAAGTACAGTTTTAATTACTTACATTGAAATATATTAACTCTAAATTAACTAGATTAAACAGAGCAGTAGCAATTACTAGTCGGAACGCTTAACACGTGCCTACGATGTAATAATACATTTTAACACTATTTTAATAATATTTTCGCAGGAAATGAAACAATAACAATTTTTCACAATTAAACTATTTTCAAGACATTAAACAAATATTGTACTAATTGTAATATTTTCAACAAAACATTTAGATAACATTAATAAACTAAAATAGTTTGTGAGTGTTTTAGTTCCTATCACTGTTGGTAGATTTTTTTAAATAGATTTAGAAAATATAATATGGATATAAATGCGCTTTTATTCAAGAAAGTCTTCGTTTCAACAGTGATCATAGCAGAATAATATTTACGGCTAACCATAATATTTTATACTTTTACTAGACCGATGAAGCTGTAAAACAATATTGTAATATGACCTAAATGCATTATTCGAATGTTGCTGTAATGTATTTTTCAAAACGAAACACTTTAAACGGCATTTATTTTCATATAAATCGGCATGCGATGCAAAACATATAACAAAAATGAATGATAGTTCTAGTATTCGATATAATGTGTATAAACATTATTTTTCACGAAAAGTTTCAACTTTTTTTTTTTAATGTACTTTTACATTCCTTTGTTGTTTTGGCTTTCAGTGTCATCGTATACAATACTGAAATATTATTACCACAATTATTTGAGTATTTCGGTAGAATTTTTCCATCTGTTCGAGCATTTCTGTCGTTTAATCTTGTAAAGGCAATCATTTATTGTCGCTGCTTGTATTGTATACTCTGTGTTTTCGATAGTCGTTTTATGACGTCAACCGTTTTCAAAAGGAATCATTTTTATTTTTTATTTTTGAAAGATGGTCTAGTTTTTTTTTCAGTAGCGTCATCGATCAGATATTTTATTGGCTTGTCCGCATTAGACCGTTTTCCGCCTTTTCGGTGCATACCTTGTTGTAACGTGTATACTTAACCGCGGGGCTAAGATCGGTCGTGATTGATTGACCTCCGACGTGGCGAGAGTCGTAGGAAATGAAAGCTGTAATGGTGTACAGAGGAGCTCCGGCCGTTAAGACCCTCTAGCTATAGGTGTGGGGACCCTTACAGTTTGTTGATATTTTCACCACCATAGCTGTCGTTAACGAAATTTCCAAGTAATCAATTACCGGCAAAGGCGGTCGCCAGTCGGCACATCAAATGTCGGCCCTGTCAGAACACCCGTAACGCTGTAACCTAGCCGAATGTCATGAGTATCGACGTTGACCCCTGGCCCGCCGAATCGTTTGAATTGCAGACAAATCTCACAGAGTGATTGCCCCCTTGCAAGGGAAAATTACAAACGAAAATCAAAATTAAATCTTCCTCTCGAAGGAAAACACTGGACGACGAACACGTCTTATGTTCAGCTCATTTTCCTCCGCCTCTTATCAATCATTAGCTTTTCGGTTATAGCTTCGTTGGCCAAACGAAACGTGCTAGTTAATAATTGTGATACTTCCAAAATCTGTACAATAAATCCAAATGATAAACTAGAATTTTTCACTAAATTTATTATGATAAACAAGTATTAGCCCCATTCAGCACTTCTCCGTTTGTTATTGGGTCAATGACTTGCATACTATCCCCACCGCACGGCCCACCAGCTTTTTTCGCTATCTATAACCAGTTCTGACCTATATTCTACTATACGGAAAAATTGTATGTAAAGATACGCAGCTGCACCACCAAATTGATGATGTTGATATCAGATGTCAACATGAATCTTTTCAAATAGTAACGTTTACTGTTGTTAATAAACTGTCTGATTAATGTAATTTAATATCCGGCTGTGAAACGTTTAAACATACGAGAGGGCTCTAGAGCGCACGAGACAAATGTGAGGCATTTGTACATGTACAAATGCTTATAGGGTTTATACAGCATGAACAAAAAAAAACTGAAAAAAACATATACAAAAACTGACAACTATTTATTAGCAATAAAAAAACTGCGACTCAAAAATTCAAGTATAACCTTGTAAATTATTTGTTTTATGATGTTTAGTTTAAGATAAACATTTCAACTTTAGAACTTTCACTAAACAATACTCATCAATACTTCTCTCGTTGACCAAAAAATTAACTGGGTTAAATTTTACTCTTATTTAAAAAAAAATATATATACAAACATATATCTTACTTTCTGACTATTTGGAATAATATAAATAAAAAATTGTAAAAAGATAAGCTTATTTATTAGTTGAAATGTACACAAATGCTAAATATTAACTACAAATTAAAATTATTATGGTAAGAAAAATGCATTGACCTCTAGGATAGGGTATATAGTTTAATTTACATATATAAAGTAAAATGTAAAATTACAATTACATTTTTTATACATTTTGTAGGTTATCTTATTTTAGCATATCTAAAATATGTATGTTCAAATTTTTCGCCCTAAAATTAAACCGTCAACGTGTAATGAACTATAATAGTGTTGGACTTTTTTGTAAATTATGTTAACTCACAACTTGTATAATTAAACGCGGATAATACTATGTTTGGACAAAGTGTGTTTTTGAAAGCGACAGCACGGCAGTTTACCTATCACGAAACGCATTAATATATTATTATATAATAAGGTCTGACAAGCAGACAAACACGGTTCTCAATAATGGTGCAATATTCAATACGGAAAACCGATGCACGTTAAATGTATATTAATCGGTTTTCGACTTGGAAACACCTGACAAGTGTCTCTGGTGAATTCGTTTGACGGTCCGACAAGAAAATCTCGGACGGCTCTCTCGACAAGTCTGTTCGAGATTCAATATGTGAAGTGTATGCCGATAAAACAAATCTTAATCCAGTGTTTCCCTCGAGGGAATCATCGTTGGATCATGAACATAATATTGTCTTATGATCGGACGATTTTCTTCATCTCTTATTAAATACAAGGAGGTATCGATTTCCTTTTCCTTTCCCCAATTCGCTCACACCCTCCATAATCTCCGCTCCCTTCCCCGTAAAAGCGGCAAGCAAATTTTCGACAGACCCACCCCCCCCCCTCCGGCCCCGCCACATGACATACGGGTTGAAAGGGTTGCGGGTTGTGGCGATCGCTGCGTTTGTTTTGGCTGTCGGCGGTTGACCAGTTGGTTGTTGTTGTCGTCGCAGGTTATAGCGACCCGTATTGTTTGCTGGGACTGATGAGGAAGACCGACGAGTCCGCGACCCGCCTCGCCGATGGATCGGCCGAAGATTGTTCTACCGTGTTGTCGCCGGTCGCCCTCATGGCTGGCATTATCGGTGACGTACGATTATTCAGAGTGTTGCTCGTCGCCGTCCGTTATCGCTCTCCTGGACACATTATACTTAACCCGCCGTCGTCTTATGTTTTTAATAAAACATATCTATCATTTCTTCCCATCGGCCCAATAGAATCACTGCGCTTAAGAGTGGAACAAAACATATGTCCCGTCGCCTAGAGAGACATAAGCCATAAGTCGGTTCTTGTCCGTTTCGATCGACAAAGATACAATAAAACAAATAAAGACAATACAAATCGGCGATTAGCGCAAAACGTGGTAAAAATATGTACCGGCGTGTAGGATAGGCAAAAGTGATGCACTAGTGCATGCAAAAGAGACAGGGGTTTGCAGGGGACTACGGATATTCTAATTCGTTTCTATAACATTTACATATCGTTATTGATTGATATTATGTTTAATTAGTAGAAATTCACTAGCCGAGTATTTAAAAAGAGGGGAAAACGATTAATTTTTATTATAACGCAAAAACATCAACAGAGCATATTTTATGAACACATTTTTAATTTTACATATTATTGTGTTCTAGTAGTATTTTTTCGACAAAAGACAATACAACTTGTCTACATTATTAGTTAAAATATTCTTTACGAGTACAAGGCTAGACGTGATGGCTTAACCGCCGACGTGTCCAGTGACACTACTAATTTAGTTAAATGGATCTAAAAAAAATTTTCCCTGATCTCTTATTGATCATTATTCTTATCATCCAATATGAATGAAATACAAATGAATTCTCCGTAAACCGGTGGTGGTTCTCGCGCTATTGTGAGATCATTTTATTTAGCCATTCGATTTACCCTACCGACAGAGCTTCTCTCTGCAGGGATTGTGGGTTACAATACAATCACACAGGTTAACGTACATTAACCGGTGTTGTTTGCCGATCGTGTAATTAGCGGACGCAAAACCAATCGACAGGAGATAAAGCGCTCAAGACGTTTGTCGGAAAATTAATGAATGTGGCCGACTGATAGTCATTATATAGGTACAACGACCGGAAAAGGGGAGGTAATGAACCAAGCAAATACTTGAGATACTCCTCGACTGGGTTGAAAGCTAGATCGGTCAGACGTTGTAATAATAATTGATGGTCTTATAATATCGGTTTGCCACCGGTATTCGCTATTACGGTTAATGGACATTACACGAAACGGTAAAGCTTTGGCCGCCGTTTGATCGAAGTAGGTATGCAATTTCGGACTTTTACAGCTGGCCGGACCATGTGCAAAAATGCTATGATACCTATGTACCTATGTACCATTTTAAGAGTATATAACAACTATCGGCCGTGTGAACCATCCAACATGACACGTACGAAGGGGACCTAAGGGGACGAAGGGGTTTTATATAAAAATATAGAGGAACTGCCAAACCAGAAATTACCTAAATAGTTTAGTGAGAGACCAAAGAAAAACAAAAACCTAGTTATTTTCTCCGCTCTACGGAAAATCATTGAATCATGGATATTTTGTCTATCATCATCAATATCTTATCACTTATCTCTAATCGCTAATCTCTTATCTCTAACTGAAATTGAAAGTGTAATGTGAAAATGACGACATGAAATTTCTTGTATCCCCTGCCCGATGACAAATCCATGTTAATAATGTTCCAAATGTCTAGGAAAAATAATATTTCACTTGGTTAGTCAATTAAAAAAAGGAAACAAGATAAGTCGACGGTGCGATGGTAAAGGTCGCAGCTTTACGTATAAACTCAACGTTACACATAACTTATATTTTTCTTATTTTGAATGAAACATTATATAGTTCTTGAAACATTTTTTTTTTTTTTTTATAGCCTTTATTATTTTTGGAACATTATTTTACCAATTGTATTGCATTGTTCCGCATAAACCGTCGACCGTACTTGATTTCCATTTATCATATTGTAAATTAATATTATTATTATTTTACAATATAGTAACATTTTTTATTGATTTTTACGAAGTCTGTAAATTATTATATTTTTTTCTAGACCCATACTACAGATTGACCGTTTTCGGTGTTCATATTTTACTTGACTACTTTTTCGTAAAAAAAAAAAAAAAGAAGACACACCGACGATACGCGATATAAAGTCTCGGACAGGTTTCAATTTAATTTTCGAAAACCGACAATTCCCATTTGGAAGTATACCGTTTTTCGTGGACGAAGAATTATAAAACTTTTAGATTGCTCGGTACCAAGCTAGATGTGTATACTATATCTATATGTATGTATGTATATATATATATCTATTCCGTAGTAACACAATACCATGTAAACGTACACCAATTCTAAACGGCACTACTGTAGAGTTACCTACGAACAATATATTATAAAGTAAATTTGTGTGCTGGTAAATGGGACGAGGGGGCGAGGGAAAGACGACCAAACGAATGCCAGACCCGAACAAAGCGCTTGTAGAATGTACACAATAAAGCGCAGTGATTCTTACCGTTTGAACATTTGAAACAAATCTATTTATAGGTCTCCCGGCAACACGGTTAGGGATCCCGCAAACCGGCACTGCCGGTGTATATAAATGCCATTGTCGAACGGCACTGGTAAATCTCCTAGGAAGGCCACAGTAAATTGCGTTTTCTCCGGTTTGTACACCGAAACAACAATAATATCACCTATACCCTCGGCCCGTTTGCAAAACAGATAACTTGCTTTCGACATGTTGTTTTTTTTATTCTACATGTTATTACGGACGCGAGGAGAACGGTTTCGGACGGAGGTAAGCTAACGACAAAATGCATCCCCATATGTTATGGTGTAATGTTGTGGACTGTTGCAACTTCTCTACCTATGTTTGATTTTTCTACGTTTTTATTCTATTATTATACTCTTCAATCTTTCTCTGTCTGTCTTGGTCACACACTGCTATAGTTGTTGGCGTTGTTGAATTTTTCATTCTTCTTTTTAAAATCAAACAAAAAAAAAGAATTTAGTACGTTTATTTTCTTAAATGTTTTTTTCGCTATGTATATATATATGTATACATACTTTTCGCAGCACTTTTATTATTTTTTTCCAATCTGTTTTACCAATACGTTTTAAACTATTACTATATTAATACGTCATGCGTTTTTTTTTTTTAAATTACATTTTTGCAAGTTTTGGTTTTTTAATAATAAACATAATTTGTAACGATATTACTACGTCTTGGTTTTACAATTTTATCTGTATTTTACATATGATTATGTTTGGTTTTTTGGTTTTACCTAATCTGCGTTATTTTTATATTGATATAAACACTTTTGTAAATTTATCTTCGTTTTGGTTGTTTTTATCATTCGTAGAACTTATTATACAAAAGCCAATAGTATATTTTACCATAATCTTTATAACGTGTGCGCCTGTTTCACGCATTTTTTCATCGTGATCGTTTACAACGAGTAACAGTACCTATACCTATTCTTATAGTTTTTTCACACGCCACTCACCAGAAAATATATTAATACTGAAAAAAAATTCTAGGTACACCCACATAATTTTGTATTCAACGAGTACACAAGTGGTTTTAAGGATTTTTTTACGGTAGGCGTATAAGTTTTTTTTTTAATTATTTGCCAACGGCATCAATTTAGACGTCAGGCGGTAGAAAAACTAACTTGTTTCGGATGATAAATGAGTTTATTTTCGTTGCAGTATAAAGTATGTGTAATATATAATATATTTTTACATATATTCCAAGTATTCTTTTTTTCTGTTTTGAAGGTGATTAATTAATAAAACAACCCTGTTTGCATTGGTGGGTTAACAAAAATGTATACTCAAGGCCGGTCCGTCGAACAAGTAAATGAAAATTTAATGAACCTCCATTTTTTTTCATTCAATTTCCATTACACTTTGGTATAACGACAAAGTATTGCTAATGTCGCAATTTCATAACCTTAAAAACCTTTGATAAACTGAAAATTACCTAAAATACCGGCAAAAGTGTCCTAAATATTGATAATGCCTGATAATGAATTATAAAAATATTCAAATACCAAATAATATAATATAATATAATAAAACATGTTTTCTGCTTAAGTGAATTCTGATAAACTAATGTCTGCTACAATAAAAAAAAAGCTATGACTGTATCAGATTCTGAGCATTATATTGGAAACTAATAAAAATAAGTGAATGAGAAAGAGGAAGATACAGTCAAATTGCTAGGCTTTAAGGGCTATAACATCTGAAGGGCGGGTTTGTGGGGTAAAAACGTATATTTGTCACAAATGAAAAAAATAATACATAATACATATATTATAATGTTGACCCAACAAACCATTAACCATTTGTTTTTTTTTTGTTATTATGAATTAAATAATTTCGGTTTTAATTGTTTATACTTTTTTGTATAATTATTTTTAATTTTTTGTCGTCTTGACAATATTAGTTTTTTGTTTGTTCATCGATAAATAATGAAATCACGGCACCGTATAGATCTATACAATAACGTATTTTTCTCTTATTTTTGTATTTCAACAACAAAATTATAATTACAAAAGCACATCTCTGGAACCAATACACAAAATATGTATTTTACAAATATTATTAATTTATTCTCTTCAGACGTAGTTCACCGCAAGTCTACTCGACGTAGATGACAATATATTTGTTAGTGATAAATATAATTACATCAAAATATTTTATTTTATTGTTAATCTTTTGCAAACATTGTCTAACAACGTTCTTGTATGGGGTTCCATCGCATTCTCTGTTTATCTTTTACCCCTCTTTTTTTCCTTCACATTTTGCTTGCTTCTTTTCACTTCCAGTCACCTCGACCGACCGTATTTCTTATTAAATTTATACAACAATATAATATATAATATTATACACTTTTACTATTTCAAATACTTTTTTTCCGCCCCCGCAGCGTGACGGGTCCCCGTGAAAACATAATTTATTTTTACATTTTATTTAAAACGACATCATCATCGCACATCTCACTGTCTCGCTCACACTTACTTTTTCTCTCTGTCTATCTCTTACA